GGCTAGTAAAATTTTTTCCATCCTTTAAGTTATCTTTTCATTCTGAGCATTGTTTTCTTTTGCCATACAGAAGCTCAGAAGCTTTTTAACTTGATGCGATCTCATTTCTTAATTCTTGGTACTATTTCTTGTGCAATGGAATTCTATTTAGAAAGTCTTGGCCTAAACCTATGACTTCAAAGTTTTACCTACAGTATTTTGTCTACCAGCAGGTTAAGTGTTTTTACCATTTAGTTCTTTGATTCATTTTGATTTTAGTTTAGCACCTGGTGAAAAATATGGGTCTATATTCCATCTTTTGCATGTGGGTAGCCAGTTTTCCCAACACCATTATTAAAAATACTATCTTTCCCTCAGTGTATGTTTTTTGCCCATTTGTCAAACCTCAAATAATTTAATGTGTCTGTGATTATTTCTGCATCCATTGGTCCTCATGACTGTTTTTGCGCCAGTATCATGTTGGTGTTTTTTCTTTTATTTAAATCATAGTAGCTTTGTAATATAACTTCAGATACAGGATTGTGATGCCTCGCCCTTTGCACTTTTAATCCAAGACTGCTTTTGCTATTCTGGATATCCTTTGGTTCCATATAAATTTTAGGATTGTTTTCTCCAGCTCTGTGAAGAATGCTGTGGGAATTTTTATTGAGATTGTATTAAATATGTGTATCAATTTTGGACATATGGCCATTTTGACTATATTAGTTCTATTTTGGAACAGGGGATATCTTTCCATTTTCTGATGTCCTCTTTGATTTCCTTTGGCAGAGTGCTGTAGTTTTCATTGCAGAGGTCTTTCAGTTTCTTGGTTAGGTTAATTCCTAAGTATTTATTTTTTTCCTGGTGCTATTGTGAATGGTATCTTTTTCTTAATTTCTTTCCTAATTTAATTATAAGTATACAGGAAAGGTATTGATTTTTGTGTGTTGGTTTTATATCCTGCTACATTACTCAATTTAGTTAATTATAAGAGTCGTTTGGTAGATTTTGTGGCGTCTTCTATGTAAAGGATCATGTCATCTGCAAATAATGATAATTTGACTCAGCCCCTGGAATCTTTGGGTGGGTCTCATCTGAAAGTGACCTTAATGCAGCAGCAGCCTGACTGAAGCAGAGTACGATGTAGACAGGGTTACCTCTCTGGAGGGAGGCAGTGTTGAATACCCACTCACTGCTACCTAAACTGGAGCCTATAAGGGCTGTATGGTTCCCCAGCAACAAAAACTTTAGTTGTCCATGGAGTCAATGGGGGGTACTTGTGGACTCATATTTATCATTTACCCTTACAGATTTTTTTCCCAATTTCAAGATATCCCAACTGGCACAAAGAGGTGATTGATGCAAGGCACATTGTTCCCTTCTTTACAGGGCCATCCCATGTCTCCATTTTCTAATGTTTGTCTTTCATGGGCACTGTACTCTAGCACTCTCCTCCAAATAGTCTAGCCACATATTAACTATTTCTTCTTTGATTTAGTCCTTCTTTATGAAAGGGGTGCATGTCTGGCACTTCTAGCCAGCCACTTTGACAGAAGCCCAATTACACTTGTGAGTTTGGAACAACTAAACTAAAAATAGACTTTTGGGCCGCAGTCTATAAGTGGAAAAGATTCTGTAATCTTGTTTGTGGTGGAAAGATGAAGAACTGTAAAACTGAGTATCAACAGATGTTGCATTATGTGGTTTCTAACATATATTTGTCAAATTCCAAGACTTTCAGAGGTGACTTGAACTGACCTGAAGTAATAAGGGTTGATAAGGAAGGTCACAGATTATGAGGTCTAACCCTCACTTTTCTGAAGTCAACCACAATAGTGCCATCTGTTTCATAATAAGGTTCTGTGAAACATTGTTTAAAATTTAGTTTCCATTGCTGAAAAGTTATAAAAACCACAAAATGGACTAATATACAGGATTGTGATAAAGATAACTGCTTATAAATACCATGTGACTTTGGGTAAGAAACTTTGTGAGCTAGAGTGGAATTAGGCTTCTAAACTTCTTCCAATGATAAGGTTATCTCAGCTTTAGTCTAACTGCAAGACACCCAGGACAACAGCCATCAACACTATTACTTTCTAATTCCATTACTAAGTCAAACAAAGTAAGAATTTTGCGAATATCTATCATTTGAACTACAGAAGAAAATAGGTTAGAAAAGCTGCTGGGTCCAGAAAAAGAAATAATCAGATTAAGTAAATAAAATTACTGAGTACAAAATATCATGATACAAAGTTTAAGAAAATGGAAGGAGGTAAGAACTAAAGGGGTAGGGGCTGGGGATGTACTTAGGTGGTAGAGCACCCTGTTTTCAATCCCCAATACCAAATAATACCAATATCAATAACAATAACTATCACCTTGGAAAGACAAGCATTAAGGAGACCAGCCAGAAAGCTACTCATGCTTTGGTCAATTCATGTCTTACAAAAAAATAAGTCATCAAATGTTCAACATCACTGCTCCTTCAAGAGATGCAGATGAAAACAACACTGAGATTCCACCTCACTCCAGAAAGAATGGCTGCTATCAAGAAATCATCCAATAACAAATGTTGGCCAGGTTGTGAGGAGAAAGGAACCCTTCTCCATTGTCGGTGGGAGTGCAGACTGGTGCAACCACTGTGGAAATCAGTATGGAGATACCTCACAGAACTAGGGCTAGAGGTCCCATTTGATCCAGCTCTTCCCCTGCTTGGTATCTTCCCAAAAGAATTAAAAGAATCATATCACAGTGATATAAGTGCGTCCATGTTTATAGCGGCAGTTTGTAATAGCTAAAGCACTGGAAACAGCCCAATTGCCCATCAACTGGAGAATGGATAAAGAAGATGTGGTTTTTTGTTTTTTTTGGGTTTTTTTTATAAAATGGAGTACCACTCAGCCATAAAGAATGAGAAACTAGAGACATTTATAGCTAAATGGATGCACATTGAGGCCATAGTCTTAAGTGAAACAAATAGGAGACACATGTAAATACTGAACAGTTTCTCTGGTGTAAGGAACTAAAAGTGTAAATAAGGATCAAAATGTATAATTGATAACATGAAATAGGAAGAAAAGGTCTAAAGGGGCAGGAAAAGTGGCAGGGGTAGGGGAAAGGAAAGAAGGGAAAGGAAAAAATATGAGAAAAAGGACAAAAATGGAAACAAAGTCTTTGTAAATAGGGAAGGGTGGAGGGTTGAAGGGAGGGGAGGGGAATGGGGAAAAATAAGAACCAAGATACATCATGTAAAGGTACATGTTCCCAATGATAAATGCAACTGTATTGTATACTTAAAACGTACCAATAAACTTAATGAAAAAAATAAGTCATCACTTTTAGTTATTTGATGTATATGAGGAAAGGAGTTAAAAGGATTAAACACATTTCTTACTTGAGAAGAACTTCAGGAATTTAGAAAGGCTCAGAGAAAGCAGGTAGGTAAGTTCCATGAGCTAGAAGATGGAAAAACAGCTCAGAAACATCAGGCTTGAACATTTCTGAAATATCTTATGAGCTTATAGAAAGAAAAAAGCAAGTCCATATGGCCATAACCAAGTATGAACTTTTAAAAAGTGACCTATGACAGTTTAAAAATAGGATTATCTTCAAGGAAAGCATATGAGGAATCACCTGGCGCTTGAAATGTCTTAATATAGGTGTGGAATTGCATGGCTGTGTCCATTAAGTTGAAAGTTACATAATTCTTAGAAATTGTCATATATTTTTTAAATAAATGCATTTCAATGCATTTTTGGGCAACTCTTTGGGGACTTATGCTTATGAAATGGATACCTAGACTTATGATGTATATATAAAATCCCTCCTTGAGTAGATTAAATAATTTCAATTTTTATGCTATAAACTCATTTACATTCGCTTGGTTAATGACATGAAGCACCAGCTGTTATTCTCTAAGATAGCTACACTTAGGAAAATGCCCCGTGGCCATAGTGGGTTTTTTTGTTTTGGTTTTTTTGATACCAGGGATCAAACTCAGGACCTTGTGCTTGCAAGGCAGGCGGCGGAACCACTGAGCTAAATCTCCAGCCATAGCGTTTTTATTGTGTGCATTCTTTTCTCATTTTTCTCAAATGTCCAAGGTAAACTGTCCTGCTGAGCAGGAAAAATGTCCAACTTCTTTTATATCTGTAAAAACCACCATTTCCAGGACTTCACAAACTACAACTACATCAAGGAACTCAATCTATTTCTTTGGAACAAATGTTTCTTATTTTGCCAGTCATTTAAAAGTGGTACAGAACGTTTTTATTTTTTATAATAAGAACATTCTGAGGATTTGACCAGGTGATTTTTGATTTATTTCTATCCACTGTCCTTTTTTCTTTTTATTGTTTTATCTTCGAAATGGGGTCTTCCTATGTTCCCAGGTTGGCCTTGAACCATTGACCCTCCTGCCTCTGCCTCCAGAGTGCTAGAATTACAACTATGTGCAACCATGCTGGGCCATTTCCTGCTGAAATATATTCCCTAAGTTCATAAGAAAAAAAAGGAAACATAATCTTTAACTTGTTAAACAGATAATTAATAAGATCTTGTGTACAATGTTTATCACCTAACCATAATACGACACATGGCAGAAAAACTCTCTTGGGTTTAAAAACAGCTTTATTTAACATAACAAAAACACAGAAATAAGAAAAATCCTATCTAGTATAAACAAAAATAGTTAAATAACATAATTTAATATAAACCAAGCATTTAAAAATGTGAACTATTATAATAAAACACGTGCTATTTATACACAACCAAGTTAAAGCCATTTCAGCAATTTTTGGATCAGATCAATTTTTTTGTTGTTGTTTGTTTGTTTGTTTGTTTTGTTTTTTTGGTACCAGGGATCAAACTCGGGTCCTTGCGCTTGCAAGGCAAGCGACAGAACTACTGAGCTAAATCCCCGGCCCAGGATCAGATCAATCTTGAAGAAGTCATTAGCAATAAAACAAGCACAAAATCTCTATTTGTATTGGTCAATAGGAAAAGAAAAAGTCATTTTATTTACGTTAAACAAATACAGTTTATTGTGACATTTAAAGCAGAGAAGCAAAAAGTGCCAGTTCTAGGATTCCAGGCAACAACTTCATGTGGAGGTTTGTAAATCATTCTACTGAATAAACATTGAGCCCATTCTTTTATTTAAATACAAACTGGTTGATTCAATTAAGTTACTGCTTAAGAAAGGTAGTAAATATATTCTTCAAAAATAAACTTTTATTAAAAATGATCAAAGGTAAATGCAATATCAATCAGGTAAGAAAGGCAAAGCATAAAAATATATTTTTTTTTCCAGACAAGCCCTGTAATTATAATAAAAGTTAAGAAACTCAGTTTATAAAACCAGACGGGGTAGCAAAAGGGATTTTAAAAATATAAAACCCAAACCATATCCAAACAAACAAACCTAAGATAATATTTCGTGAAGAAAGTGGTATTTCGTTTATTCTCTCATTATCATGCAAAGCTCCCAAGAGATCTGTGGCTGATGTAACTATTTCTATGGAGTAGTGTTATCTTTCATCAATAATCTAAAAAATCTGTAGCTATTGATCAGTTAAACATTTGGCTTTTGTTTCAAAGGTCAGCATTCATTCTTATACTGTAATTCAGGTATCTTTATGAGGCAGCATTAAATCCAATATTAGGAGTTTAAAATGTAAAATAAAGTTGTAAGAATAGATACCTAGTCATAGAATTTCTTGTTCCTTTGTGTAGTCCTGCACTGCTCAAACTTTTTGTCTACAGATGTCCCTTTATACTTTTAAAATTTACTGGGGATCTGGATGCCAAGAGTTTTTGTTTATGAGAGTTATATCTATTAAAATTTATCATATTAGAAAATAGACCAAAATTTTAAGTGTTAATTCACTTAAAAGTTCATTATGTGCCAACGTAAATAAAATTTTTATTAAAAACAGCTACATTTTTTAAAACAGAAAAAACTGTGTGGGGAGACAACATTGTTTTACATTTTCAAATCTTTGTTGAGAGAATTATAGTGAAAAGATAAATAATGTCCTGGTAGTATGATGAAAATATTTTGGCCTCACAGATCCTCTGGAAGGTTTTCAAGAACTCCAGGGGTCCATGGGTCATACTTGGAAAACTGCTGGTCGAATGTAAAGCCTGTTGCTACCGACAGAAGTCTACACAAAGAGCCTTAATTTTCATTTAAAAACAACCCAAAATTTCACATGTAGATAAATCACTGCTGGATCACTCTTTTAGATTTAATTAGAAACTGAAGATCACCATGTATGCATGGCATAATTCATAATAATTGTCATTTCTGAGATCATTATCAAGATATGACCATTTTTTATTCTATGAAAGCTGTGACACCTATTATCTCAACTCACACACTTTAGTTTATTTTGCAACACTTCTTCACTCTGTTTTTGCTGGGTTGGCAATCATCTTTAAATTGGCACAGCTTCGGTGTACAGTAGTGAATTGGAGGGATTAAGTAACAGTCCACCCACACAGATCAGCAATTTTTTCCATTTTTCACTATGTGAAAGCTCCACTCAAGTTTGGAGAAACAAGGAGAAAATTCCCCCTGAAGCACAATAATAACACAAGGATCTTACATTTGAATAGCTCTTAATATTTTACAAATTACCTGCACACAAAATATCTCATTTGATCCTTTTTTTCTTTCTGAGTCAGTTTATATTGGCAGTTCATTCATGGCCAGGTCCCTTTGCTCCAAAGGAAAGGCAAAAATACTGTAGTTTTAAGAAGTTTGATGAAAATTCAAAATAAAATAGCAACAATAATGAGATCTATGTGTGACTATAGTTTAGTGTCCATCTGCCATAACACATTCTTTACAATATTTTTGCACCAACTGAAGAGCAATAAAAAATCACAGCTCATAATGTAATAGAAAATTGTCTCCTCATAATCTTCAGGCAAAGCCTTCAAGAAAACAATCTTAAAGTTTTATTTTAACTAAAATCTGGGGTGACTGAAGATTCTGTGGTGGTAGGAGATACCGTAAACAGGAGACTAAAAGGCAATGAAATGGGAAGAAGAAAGTAATTATTACTCTCCCCAGAAGCAAAGAAATAATACATATCTACTGCCTGTTATTAAATGCATATATCCACTTAGAAATTATTCTATTGCCAGAAATCTTCCCCACTGAGATGTTAATATAAATAGCACGAGACATTCAAAGATGCTAAGCTAAGCAAAGTGTTTCATTTGAGGCAGAATAAAAGTCCTAGTATAAAGTGAGTCACCGATCACACTTGACCTGTGATTTCCTTTCTATACACTATTAACAAGTTGTTCCTCACTATGTGTATGTTCTTTCTTTCTGAGATATTCCTAAAATCAAGAGTGACTTCACACATTTTTCCCTTTTTAAGGTAGATGGAGAACCAGAGGTTAACAAAAGCCTATAAGAATTAGAAAGCATGCTAGGTACATCCGTTTGGCAAAATTCTGTAACATGTTGCTTGCTATCTGTTACATAAATTGTCAGTGCCTCTTTTTTCCCAATTTTTATGGGTTACGTTCTCTTTGAAGGTGATTTAGATAGAAGTTAATAGATTTTTAGGATAGTTGCACATACACTAGCTTGATGTATATATCATCACATGAATACACCCACTGGTGTGTTTTCCCTTTTCAGATATTCCCTCTAGCAAAAATAAGCATGTATAATGATTTCGTAATAGAAAACAAAACTAAAGAAAATCAGACCAATAAGGGTAAAGTGGTATGCTGTAAGAATTTAATAAAATAAGTCAATGAATATTTATGTAGTGGTAAAGTGCTAGAAAGTTCTTTCATTAGTATTTTAAAAATGATTAGAGTTAAAAAGTCTGTAGCTTCATTTTATGGTAGTGACCACAGGCACCATAGCAATGGCACTGGCTGAGCTGGAGTTGACTATGTCTTCGTATTCCGGGGGTGGATCTAAATGAGGTTCTGTTTCACTCCTCCACAGGTTCACCTGACCAGTGGCTTCCTCATAGGTTGGTGGTGGATCACAGTTGGACAGGCGAGTGGAGACAGAATCTGAGCGCCCAACTACATATTCCAGAAAGCCTGGAGATAGTCCACTGCTATCAAACACTTCATCTTGTGGTGGAGGAGGAGTGATAATATTAAGGTGCTGAGGGAAAGGAATGTGGCCTTCAGTCACTGTCTGTCTTCGAGTTTTGTTTCTTAGGAAGCATCTCCAGATTAGGAAAATGACAAGAAGGATAATGAAGAGGCCAAAGATTAATGGAAAGGTAAGGTAAAACTGAAACCAGTCACTTCCTCTGTTACTCTCTCCTTGGTGTGCTTTTGTGTAGGTGTTCCAAAACTCCTTCTGAAAATACAAAACAAAATACATCAAAAATCAGTGTGATCAAACGATGGGAAACATTAGATGAGTAACTATCTGAATTCAATGAACATAATGAACGAAAGACTAAAATTGGATCTGTTGGTTCAAATGCCTTACAGTCTCTATTTTCTATGACAAGGAATTATAAACACAGAAGGTCTTCAACTTAGATGGTGTTATGTCCCAGTGAAACTATCATAAATTGAAAATACATTTAATAAGCCTAACATACTGAACATCACAATTGGCAGCACAGCATATGACAGTCTCAGTAAGTCGCACCATTATTAGTTGGGGATTATCTGTACATCAGTGTGCTACTCTGGATCCTCCTTAAAATGGTCGGAATCTAAGACTCTTTTTTAAGACTTGGAGATATGTACATTTTCAGCTGACATTTTACAGTAAAAAATAAGGAATGAAGCTTTTCTCTTTATCAGATTATACCAGATAATTTACCTTTAAACATATAGGTCAGTGTCTCTCCATATCAAACTTTGAGGTTCTCATCACACAGTCTCCATCATAATTAACAGTGTTTACTTAATTAGGGTTCTGTAAGCTTTTAATACCCACACTCCACAAATAAACACTTTATTTTCCAATGGTTCTGTCTGAGGTCCCCTTTCACCAAACATTCTTCCCTAACTCCCTCTCCACACACAAAGTTTAGTACACTGATGTTGGCTGAAGGTCAAAATTGCTTCTTATCCCTAGGAGAGACCTCATGGTAGTTTAGAGAGTGTTAATAGGATACTTCCAAACCTGAACTTTAATCCTAAGTGAAAACTGGTCTGGTGGTTCAAGTCTTAATATTTGTTGGGGAAATACTGAAAAAATACAAAAGAAATTTGACCCAATTACTAGGTATGAGATTTGAGCAAGCTACTCCTTTAAGCCTTAGTTCTCTCACCTGTAAAATGGGATAATACAAATCTGTTTTATAGGCTGTCTGAGCATTGAATGTAATAACATATAATGCACCTAAGTAAGTTCATGGCAAACAAACACTCAATAAGTGGTAGTGATTATAATTAATTTTTACATATTATATTCAATCAATGCTGCAAAATGAATAATCTATTCCATATCTTGGTACAAAGACTACTATCAATCGCAATGCTATTGATATTGACTCCATTTTTTTCCTTTCTTACTTAATTTTAATTATCTTTGCAATCCTTGGGATTGGACTAGAGCCTTGAAAATGCGAGGCAAGCACTCTGTCACTGAGCTATAACCCTAGCTTTTTACTCCATTTTTATATGTTTCAACTGAGTCAATACTTTTCTTAGAGGCATATTTACCTGTAACTATTATAGGTCATTGATTTTACTTAAATCTCTGGCATCAATGAACCCTTAAAATCCTAAGTGGAAAAAGAGGTGTTGGGAAGAGAGGTAGATCATTACCCAAATGGGAAAACTAAGGGAGCTGGACTACATCAGGGATTTCAAACTGAGATGTCCTATAAGGGCACTTCATTTACATAAAATATCAAATCTCATACAAAGTAAGACCCTGAGTGCTGAAGCTGTATGTTTTATAGTCCTAAGTTTTATCTACTTAGTCACATGGCTCTTTAAACTACTCTGTGGGCACAGCAGTGATGTAGTCATCACTGTTTCACTCTGGAATTCTCTACAGTGCATTATTACCTTCTATAATTCTAAGATGAACTGGGATGTGTTATGAGAAATATTGTGTGATTTACTAGCGGTGGTATACATATTCATAATGAATTGTACTTTTTAAAAAATCATGCAAAAATATGCAGGGTTCAAAATTAGAATGAGCCAAAAGTAGAAAAAGTACACTCCAAATAGAGCGTCAAGGGGCCAGCGATTTAGCTCAGTGGTTTCGGCGCCTGCTGCGCAAGCGCAAGGACTGGAGTTCGAGCCCTGGTACCTAAATAAATAAATAAATAAATAATAGAGCATCGAGAACGATACCAAAAACCTGAAAATGTAAGTGATTTATTTTTTTCACAAGTATTAACAATGTAATCACAGATGAAAACTAATGAAACACAAGTGTATGAAGCCTTTTAAATATGATTGATTGATTAAGGTGCTGGGAATGGAATCCAGGGGGCCTTGTGCAAGTGGGGCAAGTGCTCTACCATTGAGCTATATTCCCAGCCAGTTTTTTCTTAAATAATAAATATGCTTCTCAAATTGTGCACTGTTAACTTTTTGTGTAACTGTCATTTTTACAATTGACAACTTTACATAACTTTTAAAAAGTAAAAAGCAAATTTTAATTATATAACATTTCACGAATGAGGAAACAACTAAAAAATAAAAGAAATTACTTGCAATTTTATCACAAAGGCATAAGCGCTGTTAACATTTTGGTCTACATTTAAAAAAAATGTAGACCATCTACTCTTTCTCCCATATGTTTACTAATAATAGTTGTACTGCTAAACAAATATATACTCAGTATAAATTTGGAATCAATCTGCACTAAGTGGAATAAAAATGTTAATCATCTACTTCTGGAGACCTATCAAGTATCTGATCTGAGATAAATTTTCTTTTATCTGCAGGTGAACTTTTACCATCTCTCTTGCTAGTCTCTCAGATCACATTTTGCCTCCATTTCTTATCTATGAATGCAAATAAATATATGTGATTTCCAAATGATATACGTTAACCTTAGATAAACACATTAAAAAGTGGCTCTTCTATATACACATTATTATGGAATAACCAAGCATTAATAACGCACATGAAAACCAAAAAGCAATCTGCCTTGATATATAAGATGTTTCAAATCAATTTGGCCATTATTCTATAAAATTCAATATTCCCTCCATGTTTAATGTGTAGTCAAATGCAAGCCTATTTTATGGATAAAGCATTTTCAATTAAGATAACAATGATCTCAGCAAAAAAGGTACTGACATGTTTATTTCTCTTGCAAATACACTTACTTTAACCTTGCAGTAAGAGGATCAGATAAAAATTCTCTTGAAATCAAGACTGATATTTTAATTGTCATCCAGACAGCCTCAGTTTATATCTCTGAAAGCTATTTATCTTACTGAAAGCAGTCAAAAGGTATTCAGAAAGAGCAAATAATTTCAAGACGTTTAGAATAGTGCTTTAGAGGGAATGAAAACTAGTGGTTAACAATTATGCTTAAAGTGGCAAATCTTTGACATACTGAATCAAAAACTTCTACAATGATTAAATCATATTTTATAGCAATCTGAAGCATACCTTAAAAGATTTGTTTAATGAAGAAAAGTTATTAAAAAGAATGCATGGTTTTAGAACACGCTAAAATTATACAAGTGATGAACATTATCTGAAGCTGCCAGAGAGGTCTGACAACCATTTCAGAGGAAGGACTCCCAAGAGGTAGACGTTTCATTGTAAAAGTTGTAAAAGCAGTTCAGTAAGTGACAGATTCTATCAGACAATATTTTCTTCTCTTTCATGAAATACATGCTTTTCTATTTTGTATTTTCTCAGTGCCATTTGTGAATACAATTTGAGTGACTCAAACCTGAATGAAAGCCAATAATCATAATTGGAGAGGGTAGAGTTGAGCATGTTTTATTTCTGATTAATCAGCTCCTAACCGACCTGGGAAAATTGGAAAGTGGCTGATTTCCCAATGCATTTGTACTGTTGCAGAGAGCCCAGAATCATTTGCATACAACACTCATGTGGTGTTCCCTTTCCTTGAACAAGAATGACAGGAGAGAAGAAAGTCTGTAGAAGATGAGGGATTAGAAAACAATTCTACCCCCGAAAGCTGCTTTGTTGGGAGCACAAGGTCAAAAGACCTCCAAGTTGGAAATCTAAGCAAGAAGTCCAAAATTCTTAAGATTCTTTATGAAGAGGGATATTCTAGAGAAAATGGCTGTACTTACACAGAAGTCACTTGACAGATATAATTAAGTCTGAGAAAATGGAATGTAAGGGTCAGCGGGAATGGATGTCACGGGAGACCCCTGCAGTAGGTCTCAGCCTCCTGTGAGCCATGACAGCATGGGCTAAAGTTAAAAAATAGACAGAATTAGACTTATAGTGAAGCTGAGTCTTGGGTGCTGGTCAGTGCTGCTCTAGACAACAAAGATAAAAGCCCCCAAGTGCATCCAGCATTTATTGTGAGAAGGTACAATTGTGAGAAGGAATAGGGAGCTACAGAGCTTTGAAGTCATCTCATGAATTACTGCCGAACATCTGGCATGATGGCACAAGGCAGGGCTGTTAGGGAGCAGGCACTGCTTATCTTGCTAGGATAGAAAAAAAACAGTACTGAGATCAGGCATGATTAACAAGAAACCCACAAGGTCAATGAGAAGCAATAATTCAGAGGAAAGGATTTTAATTGGGGTCACGCTGACCTCAGCTGCACGTAATTCAGCAAGACCCTGCCACTTCACAGACCATGACTTGGGCCTCGGTGACAGCCATTAGCAAAGGAGCAATATTAGCCCAACTCTGCTAGCTGACATGCCTGTTTGAGTCATGCAAGGCTTCAGTCTGACTCCTGAATAAAACAATATAACTGAATTAGGGAAGGCAAGAAGGATGTGCCACTCATAGCCTGCTAGTACTGGGCAGGGATGTCTCCTACAATGGAACATTTGTAAATTGATACAAAAAGTAAGGCATTATCTTGAAAAGTGACCTGACAGGTAGTAAAATGCCTAAAAGCAATTATGTATGTTGAATGTCAGCTCAGTATTTTAAAAATACCAGTTGAAGATGAAATAACTGGGGGATGGAGAGCACAAAGTTCAGTTGTACCTTGTTTAGAATCATTTGAGGATCTCTTTTTTTGCAAGGTGTCATGGACCTTACATGAAGTAAAATGTCTTTAATTTAGATGTGATTATTGAGAAACTAGTAAGGATTGCATTCAGTTACTTGTCTAAAAGCAATCAAGGTGGGAAATTTGGTACAGTAGCTGTCCTGGTGTCAGAGGCGAAAGAAAGAATCCTAAGTCCCAAAATATCACCA